GCTGACAAGTCGCACCGCAGGGATTTCGAGAGAACTGAAGATCGGGGGAGGGTTCAGGGTTTGAGGCAAGATCATGGACTAAGTGGTTCAGGACTTAGACGAATGCATGGTTTTGACGTCTTCGATTTCGAGTCTCTAGTAGTTCCGAACCGAAAACAATAAGACAACAACCAAAAACAGCCCAAGTCCATCATGGGCCTCCGCGCAAATCCTCTCGACTCTTTGGCCGTTGGCCTCCGCCCCAGGACGCCTCTCTCGGCCGAAACTTCCAGCAAAAAGTCCCGCCGCTTTGGTTTTTCTGTGGAGTCAAAGGTTTGGGAATGTTTGGGACTGGCAGAATTTCAGGAACCGAGTTGGCAGGGCGAGGCTTTGGCTTCTGCGACGCTCTCAATCGTACATACTAGGCTCGACAATGCCAGAGTTAACTCAGAAGAGCATCATGTCTGATATGACCTCGCGCATGAAAAACTGACTAATACGGTCAGCCTCCTTGGCCTTGCTTCACAGCAAGGAAAGGCAGGTGAGGCAACATCAGATGCACCGAACGTCTAACTGGAAGCTTAATTATGGGTTCACACTTTTTCACAAGGGATTCGACTGCGGGTTCACACTTACACGTCAAGACTTCAGCTGCAGATCTGAACGACGCGGCCTCGAGCAGAGCAGATCTCCACCGGCAAGCTGGCATCGCGGGCCTGCAGAAGCCTGGGCAGGGACCGCAAACACATGTCGCATTGACCACACCATCATCATCATCGTCATTAATCGTCGCCGATCTCGTCACCATCCTCCTTTTTGTCAGGTTACAGTCGAACGGCGAGGAATTGCACTGCGCCTCCGGCACTCCCTCTGTGAGGCCTGTTGTGCAAGCGAAACGTCTGTTCAGTGGCGCCTGGAACAAGACTCGTTCTGTTGCTGGGGCCTCTGTGAAACCAACTGGATTGACGACCCAGGCACTCGTACAAGCACCAAAGCCTTGTTGGCCAGCTGGCAGCCTCTCCCAACACCTCGGGCTGCTCCGCCAGGCAACGGCAAAACTGGCCAAGGCAGTGGGCAAAGGTGATCTGATCTCCAAAGAAGGCCTTTGAACTCGAGTAGGCCGTAGCTTACCCCTAAACTCACCACTCCCAATGATGGCCAGGTGCCACCACGACGAGTCCGCTTGCCGTCATGCCGAAGTTCAGGTTGCGAAGGTCCGCATCGAAGTCCTGTGCTGCAATGCTTGGAGGTTCAGGGGCTCTGCAGTTTTTAGAGTGCCGGCTCTAAGCTCAAGTTCATGGCCCAGCAAGACGTGGCCAAAGCCAAGATCCTCGCGACACTACACCAGAGCCAGCAAAGCCGCCGATATGGCATACTATGGACTAAAAGAACACTAGATGAACCAAGCTCACAGAAAAAAACAACCCGAAAGCTGGAGTACAAAATCCCGCCAAATCCCGCCAGTTAGAGCCTAAAATTCCACGGTCTAGCACACATTGCATCACCTTTGTTTGCAAATGACTCCGAAAGCCCAAGCGCCAAGCACCTAGCGTTTTTACAGGCTGGGCATCCAGCAGGATGGCTCTGTCTCTCTCGCTCTCTCCTTGTCTCGCACATCAAGAACTTGGTGTTCTTGTCGCCCCTCTCGCTCTCTTTCTCCCCTCCCTCTCCCTCCCTTCCTTGCTCGCTCTGTCTCTCTCTCTCTCTGCCTGGCTCAGCAGTGATTCGGAGTCGCGAGTGCCCCCGCAGGCAGATCTCAAACTCTGCCCAGACCCTGCCAAGCACAACTCCAGTCCGATAGCCCGAAACCCTAAACCCAAAGTCCTAAATCTACACTTGCGCATCCTCAAAGCACTACGCAAGATGCCTCGGCGAGAGCGCAAGGTTGCGACAGGAGGCCCAGCCAGAAGCCTTGATCTGGAGACGCATGGTACACACGCATAAAAATTGTATCATAGCATGTGGAAAAGTATATGTAGGAAAAATACGTGTCTTTTTGTGACTGTGCACATATATATATATATATATATATATGTATATATATATATATATATATGTGCATACATACATATATATATATATATACACATATATATATAT